AACTAGTAATTTGGGTTGTTTCAACCTGTCTCGTATTCATTCTCTTACTCATATTCACCAGTGTTATCTTTTAAAAAATGAAAGTCTGTAATCAGATTCTCAGTTATCTTTTCCTCAGGGAATCTTCTAGCTTCCCTCCCAAAGTTTAAAGAATGAATACAGCCAACAACAGGGCCTTAGGGCTGATGAGATATTTACTTTCCCTTCACATTCATTGATTATTTTAAATATAAAAAAGATGAAAAAAGTTTTGTTAATTTATGTCAAACATTCATGATAAATAGGTTTATAGTGAAAAAATAAGTACAAAACAAAGTGTGGCTTTAGTTAAAAGCCTTAATTACTTCCACATACAGGATTTTGTTGTTGTTCTTAGGTGCATGAGCTTTTAAAAGTGCTAAAGATATAGCTAAGAGAGATAACCTGCCCTGGTTCCTAGTTTTGGTAATAACCTGTTGTTTCCAAGTCTCATCTTGAGAGTACTGCCTTTACTCTGTAAAGTCTTCCAGTTTAAAGGATAAATTTATAGAAACTTTCATGGAAATAATAGTGTGATTAATAGATACCTGAAGTGCCTTGAACCAAAGATCAATTTTTAAAAAACTTTCAGAAAAATTATTTTTCATTTTTTCAGTATCAAGTACTTTAATGTGCTAAAAACTATGTTCCAAACATTCAACATGAAATATGCACTAAAAACAATTGGGTCATAATTCATTGAAATGTCCTTGATTTCTAAACATTACTTTTTAAACATTACTTTCATGTGTAGACTTTCAAAGTTGACAAAGTTAATTTTAAAAGACCCTTATTACAAACCAATCACCTCAAAGGTAAAATATAACCAATAATTTGAAAGATGTTTATTTTTAGACTCCTCTAGCAAAATCATCAGTTGCATCTGTCTCGGAAAAAGAAATGACGTTTCATGATTCTGCACACTATGGACCACCTTGGACCACTTCTGAAGCCTGTGGACCCACTCTAAGAAAAATATTTTTAAGGGCTGGGGTTGTAGCTCGGTGGTAGAACACTTACCTAGCATGTGTGAGGCACTGGGTTCAAGTCTCAGCACCACATATAAATAAAAAATAAAGATACATTGACAATTAAAAAATTTTTTTAACTCACATTATTAAAAAATATTTTTAAGTTCATAAAATAAAATACAAAATATTACAATTGAATATGTTGTAATTATGTTGGAATGCAACTATCAAAATACATATCTTGTCTATTTTTTTTAGTAGTTGATGGATACAATATCTTTACTTACTTTTATGTGGTGCCGAGGATCGAACCCAGTACCTTACACTTGCAAGGCAAGGGCTCTACCACTATGCTACAGTCACAGCCCTCAAAATACATTTTTAAGAAATATGTAAATTAAAATATGAGCTTCTTTAGTACCTCATTAAATAATAATATTGCAAGGCTCTAATTCTAATATCTAATATCTGTGACAATCACCCAAGTAACAACAAAATATTTTTTTAAAACAGTATTGGGGATTGAACTCAGGGTGTTGTACTTGCTAGGCAGGCATTCTACCACTAGAATTCCAGCCCTTTTTTCTTTATTTAATTTTGGGACAGGGTCTGCCTCAGGTTCCCAGGCAGCTGGGATTATAGGTGTGTGCCACAGAGCTTGACTAAACCTCAAAGATATTTGGAGGTTATCCACAGTAACTACATTGTGATCTGAAAAAGTCACAAGTACTGCTCATGCTAATCTAGTCTGTTGATCACATCCACGATTGGAGGAAATGACACATTTTAGTTAACAGGCTGGTAAAAATAAAGTTCTAATTTTCACAATCAATTTCAGAATTTTTTGAATTCTATCCTTACAGGTTATAGGACTGAGAAAGCCCAGAAGTCCAACAAGTTTATCATAGGTACACAATTAATTCATCAGATAACCACTTACCCCTATAATCAGCCTACAAAACAACATTTACAACAAAAATCCCACTAAGTGCTTGTTTTTCCTATTTAAGGAAGGCCCTCACTGAACACTCCTTTCAGTTCATCTTGTGACAGCTTTCAAATACAATGCACTATAGACACAGAGTGTATCATATGGACACACAGTAGGTGTAGATTTTTTGAAAACCCCAAACAAAAAGTCTCTGAAACACAGGGCATTTTAAGGATCAGGTCTTTTTACTCCTATCTCTAATATTTTCTAAATTAAGAATGTATTTTTTCTTCATATTTGCATTTTCCTGTTTCAATTTAGTAATATAGCATAATGCATTGTTTAAATTTTCTTTTTTCACAGCTTTGAATAAAATCTAATAAGCAAGGGCACCAAATGCAGGCATGCACAGCCAAGCCCCTCAGCCACAGAAGCTTTGCTTCCCAGAACAGACTGAAAGTATCACCTGATTGATAACTAAATACAGCTACTGTCCAAGAGATAAGGTAGAATATCAGATCATTACAACCTAAAGGGACCACAGAAGCAGCTTTGTCTGAATGTTGACTTGAGAATGAGGAACCAGGGACCCTAAGGAGTTAAGTGACCACAGCAAAACATGCAAAAGCAGGGATGAGGTCTGTCAGCCAACAGGACACCTTCTCCACCACTCCACCAGTGTCCTCAAATCATTGCAGCCTCCTTTCATTCATGGCTTCACTTTCAGTTCCCTGAGGTTAACTGTAGTTCAAAATATTACACGGAAAATTCCATATTTTGAGGAGTCACATAACATTATTATAACTGTTCTCTTTTGTTTTTAGTTCTTGTCAATCTTTTAGTATAAATAATGTATAAATTGAACTTTATCATAGGTATGTACATATCAGAGAGAATATAGTATATACAAGGGTTGGTATTATAGGTTTCAGACACCCACTGGGGATCTTGGAACACATCCTCATGAATACAGGACGACTACTATATAGCCATTGAAACAAGGGCTTACAGTCCTGTAGAAATATTTCTTATAGACTTTTGCTTCCAAATATACAAGTTGAAAGATTTAAATAGTTTTAGTCATATCTCTAAAACAGAGGCCCTGAAAGAATACTAAAGAATCATGAATTCATTTTGAATAGTTTTCAATGTCTAATTTATTAACAGTGTTATTTTGGCTGTTGAAAATCTGGTAAAACCATCTTTAACTTAATTTTGTTTTGATGATCTTTTTTTCTGATTATAAAAAGAATGCTCATTATAAAGACATTATGAAAATACAAGGACAAATGAAGAAGAAAATAACAGCCACATTTAAAGAGTCAAAGATAATACTGGTAAAATTTCAACCTATTTCTTCCCATATATTTATGTTTGTCTAAATAGATTTTTTTTTACTTATATATTAAGGTAATATGGTATGTAAAATCCTATATCTTGCCTTTTCTCTTAGCATTATACCTTGAGCCTTTTCCCTACTGAATTAAAATGATTTCTAAAAACATCAGAAAAGTCTGTATTCAGGGGTTATTAAAGAAGTAAATCTTAAACACATTATAATTGATAAAATTATCTTATATAAGTTTTGATCACTGGATTTTTAGGCTATCATTGATTAGGAAACTAATGTATTAAATTGCTCTATGTCAAACACTAAAATATATTTATAAGATAGTCTTTGGAAAAATTTAAATGGAAACAGCTAAGCTCATCACTGGGTAGTACATAATTTCCCAGGAATTTAAACAAATGAAAACTCAAAAAGATATCCCCTACCACTATTAAATGCACAAGATTCAAAAAGTGCAAAAATACAGCCTGACAGAGTTCTGAAAGGTCATGATGGACTACAGCATTTATGCAACCAATTAGCATTTGGTGAAAACATTTAGAGACTTGCAGGCTACAGGAGCCAAATAAATACTTGTTAAGTGAATAAACAGCAATAAATTTGCCAACATATATCAAGACATCTGAATATGATTATACCCTGTGATGATAATCTTACTTACAAGAACAGATACAATATGGACAGTAAGGTTCTCACTGAAGTTTTCTTAAAATGGAAAGCCTGGTCACAACTATTGTCTAATATTAAAATAATTGTTACCATGATAAGTGAAATAAGCCAATCCCCAAAAACCAAAGGCCAATATTTTCTCTGATAAGGGAATGCTGATCCACAGTGGGATGGGATGAAGGTAGGGAAGAATGAAGGAACTCTGGATTGTATAGAGGGGAGGCAAGGGACTGTGGGGATGGGAAGGATGGTGGAATGAGACAGATATTATTACCCAATATACATGTATGATTCCACTACCTAGGTGACTCTGCACCATGTACAGACAGAGGAACGAGAAGTCATGCTCCATTTGTGTACAATGTGTCAAAATTCATTCTGCTGTCATATATAACCAATTAGAACAAATTTTAAATTTTTTGTAAATAAAATGATGATTAAGTGAATAATGTATGTCTATGGAGCTGTAGTAAAAACGTGTCTAAAGACAGCTTCTTGGTTTGACTGAAATATTTAAAATACTGGTCTAAAATTTATTTCCTTTGTGGAAGATTTCATTTCCTTCTTTTTTTTGTTGTTAATTTTTTTCTTTTAGTTTCAATGGACTTTTACTTTATTATTTATTTATATGCAGTGCCCAGAATCAAACCCAGTACCTCACACATGCTAGGCAAGCATTCTACCATTAAGCCACAACCCCAGGCCCCTCATTTCCTTCTTTCAATAAAACAGTTGTCAACTTTAAAATGGGATGTAACCATTGCAATTTTTTTTAAAAAAATTAAGAAGCATTTAATTATTATCTTCCTGTCAAAATGTATTCTAATTGCCAATAAAAGTGTCACCCATGTGTTTGTCCTCACATACCACAGAAGAAGGGGCTGGCCTTTCCTGTGATGATTGTTCAGGGGATGAAAGAAGAAAACATAGCTTTCTGTTTTCTTAATATCATCACACAGATAACCCTGATGTACACACCACACACACACACACACACACACACACACACACACACGAAGGATGGTAGTAATCTTGTAACAAATAACACTAGTCACAGTACCTTCATAAGCTCAAATGGTTCACTTCCTTCTTCCACCACAATGAGTTGAGACCTTCCTTTTCTTTCGTTATCTCGAATGCCGATGGCAACCTGGCTTGCTTTCAGACGCTCATATTTGTTGCATGAGGAACCACACCACTGGTAAATTTTCTAAAAGAAAAGAGAGATCTTTTGGCCTCAAGTACATGTGGAGCACACTCAAACTTGATGGGCTACTTATTGTGATTAATTAGGATAAAACCAAAAAGGTATAAGAAAGGGAAACTAAAATTAGCTACAGGTGAGGTACATATAATTATACATATATTTAAATCATATCATATTCTCATTCTGTTGGCTGTTAGTATTCTAAAGAAAGCACTTTTAGTGCAAAATATAAAAACATGCCTCAGTGTTCTTTGTATATGAAATACAATAATTATACTTTATAAAAGTGAACTTATATGGATTATTCAAATTTAATATAATAAGTCTACCATATTTCAGAGAAATAGTCAAGAATCTGTTAAGGCATTATACTCTTGATGGTCATAAAAAATGATACAAGACTTTTGTCAAGCAATTTACTTATTTATAAATTTATTCACTCCAACTGACAAATCCAAGTTGCATATACTTGTCATGTACAACATAATGTTTTAAAACATAGAATGGCTAAATCCAAAAAACTAAAATATGAAAAGCAATTTAACAGTGGTTATCAGGAGTCATAAAAAGAGTTAAAACCTTTTATCCAGTAATATCACCATCTAGAACTTATTTTAATAAATTATTCATAGAAGAAAAAACCCACATGTACAAGGATTTTCACTGATATATATCAATGAGGTATTAGAGAAACATTAAATGTTTAATAATAGGATATCAGTTATACAAATTACTATACATAGGAGAAAATTAGATGCTTAATTATTAAAATTATATTTTAACAGAAAATATGGAAAAATAGAAAGTCATTTGAAATATAATAGAGATATTAGCGACCATTTATATTGAAATATATATTTTAGATTTGAGTACAGTATTCAGAATGTATGCAAATCCCAATGCAAAATGAGAAATACATCATCAATTTATCTATTAAATGTTGTTTAACAAAAGAAAAAAAAAGTTTAAATTACCCCAGCCTGGTAGGTGTGGGAATGGTCATTAGTACCCACTATTTGTGTGATATAAGCATTCAAAAGCTTCTTTTGAGGGCAGTCTGGCATCGGATCAAGCAATTAAATGTGTTTTGTTTTGTTTTTTAATATATTTTTCAGTTGTAGTCAGACATAATACATTTATTTTATTTATTTATTTTTATGTGGTGCTGAGGATCAAACCCAGGGCCTTGCACATGCTAGGCAAGCGCTCTACTTCTGAGCCACAACCCCAGCCCTAAATGTGTGTTTTTTTAAAATTTTTTTATTAGTTGCTTAAAACATTACAATGATCTTGACATATCATACATTTGATTCAAATGGGGTATGTAATCTTAATCTTATTTTTTCCACGTGTACAGATTGCAGGATCACATTGGTTTACAGCCACGTTTATACATAGGGCCATACTAGTGTCTGTTGTATTCTGCTGCCCTTCCTATCCCCCCTCCCCTCCCCTCCCCTCTTTCTACCCAATCTACTGTGACACATTTTTCTCTCTCTCTTTTTTCTTCCTCCTCACACCATCTTATATGTAATTTTGCATAACAATG